CCCTTTATTACATATAATTTTTATTGCATCATGATCTGAAAAGGATGCATTTAATATTTCTGCCTTTCTGCACTGGGTTGTGAGGTTTTTATGCCCTAGTACATAGTCAATTTTTGTGTAGGTACGATGTACCACCGAGAAAAAGGCATATTCTTTTCTAACCCCATTCAGTTTTCTCCACAGGTCTACCATATCCAACTTTTCTAAAATTCTGTTCACCTCCTTAATTTTTTTTTCTTTCATAGACTTTATTTTATTCAATCTTCACAACAATGCTATGAAGCACCAAGGGTATATATGAACCCACTTTTATAGAAGAGAAAAACAAGACTCCTAGACGTGATATTTCTTGCCCCAATTTGTACAGTTATTAAGTGGCAGAACTCAAAAGTCCAAATCAAATCTTCTTTTTACTACAGCCTCTGAAAACTTTCTTTAGCCTAAGAACTCAGGACTTGCCTGCACCCAAAAAACACAGTAAACTCAAAAATTCCCTATTACTATTGCCACACTGCTGATCTTGTTGAATCTATAACATACTAAAGCAAATAATGTTACAGAACTAGGGAAGTCATAGAAAAGTTAATATTAACATCAAAAGCTAACATTTCTTTCTCTAAAAAAATATTTCATTTTTAATTCGTGGAACATTCTTTTTGTGGGGTTTTCTTGGTAAAGGTACTGGAGTGGTCTGCCATTTCCTTCTCCAATAGATTACCTTTTTTTTTTTTTTGTTTGGAGCTGTGATCTGTCTGTTTGGGGCAACCCTGCGCATCAGTTTATAAAGTTTCATTAACCTATGCAAGCACCACTGCCATAAGAAGGCAGTGATCCAGGAGTGGATTTTTTTCTTTTGGCTTTTCTAAAGTCAAGGAAATTTATTTCCTGAGGTCATGACACAGGAACTCACTCCTCACCACAGTTGGGGAGACCTCATAATGAACATTAGAGTGCTTAATGACATGCTGAGTGGACCATGAAGCTTAGAAAGTCTCCATTACTTTATTATGAAGCATTTCACTTGTGCTTTTAGTGTTTAAAACAGTGCAAAGCCTGTCACAGAGTGATGTCAAGGAACTGATCCTGAGTGCAAACTGGATGCTAAATAAGGTCGTGAGCCATCGAGGCCAGCATGCGAGACCCAGCACTCCAGGCTTCACTAGCAGACCTTTTCTGGTTGGCTGGAGTGAGAGCAGGAAGGGGACACACAATTTACATAGGAGCTTTGATCTTCTTTGCCACAAAAGAAAGATTCTATGGTCTGACTTTTTTTTCACAGTTTGCTCATGATCTCAGCCAACTACTTGACTCTGCCTCCAGTGTGGAAGGTGTTCTCTCTCAAGCTTCAGGGGTTCTGTGCAGCTGTTTTCAGAGACACTTCCAGGGACATGTAAATTTTCAATTCTTCCAATGTGGTATGATCAAAGGAGAGGTGTTTACCCCTTTCCTGGCCTGTGCTCTGGTCTATGAGTGATGACAAGCACTCTTTTCTCCCTTGGAACTGTGAGAATTCCCTCTGCACCATCATCACAAGCTCCACCACACCAGTGCTCTTCCTCACCCCATGACTACCACCCAGGACTGTGACCCAGATCCAAGCAGGGGCAAAGGAAGAGAATCCTGCCTCAAAGCCAGCAAAGAGATCCCTTTGATCAGCCGCTGGATCCCCCCACTATCTGTGGAACAAGAGCTCCTGAAGCAGCCACCACCTTGGGACTGCGCCAAGGCTGGGGTCTAACCATGCTCTTCTCTCATCCAGGTCCAGCAGGCCTTTCCTACTAACCTTCTAAGTTGTCTTTGGCATTTGTGGATTGAGAAGTCTGTAAATTGCCACAGCTGCCAGTGATTCAGTCCCCTGAAGCCTACTCCAGGTTTGCTGGGGCCCTATCTTTCCTGCCTGGTCCATACTGATCTGTGCTTCCCTCCCAGCACAGCACAACAGACCTTTCCTATCAACCATCCAGGTTGTTGTGTTGGGCTGAAAATTCGTTTCACTCTGTGGGTTCTGCTGCTCTAGAATTTATCATTTTTCACAGGTATTTGGAGGGGTTTGGGGGAAGAGCTCAAGAAAGTCACTGCTTTTACTCTGCCGTCTTGGCTCCCCCTTCTCAACTTAACCTCTTTCTTGTTTACTTTGTAGTTAGAAGTTCCAGGTAATTTGGTGGATGGTGGTGGAATTAACTCCAGCTGGCCTAGGTCTGGGTCACAGAATCCTGGCTTACAACCCCTTTCCTGTTTGGTCACGGGGAACATAGATAGGGAAAGGACCTTCTTTTGAATATAAGCAGAAACCTATAAACCATAAGAAAGAGGGATTGAGTATGTGAGCTTGGCCCTGTCAATACACATCTCTGGCTTCAGTTTCTTCATTTGTAAAAACGAATGCTTGGAGGACATCATCATTGTGGGCCATTCTAAATTCTCTGATCCTGAGTGAAGGGAATACTTGGAGGAATGAACTAGGCCATCTTACATGTTGTAGACGACAAGGAAGCCTGGGACAAGATAGAAGAGAGCTGAAGGTGCTGGTTGCTAATCCACTGGGCTCTGTGTTCCTGGGTTCTAATCACTTTCTTGTGGGTGTCTTTCATCTATGTTCCCATCATCCTTAATGTGTACATCACTATGCCAGGGTCAAAGTACAGTGTGCCCAACACTGGCTGATCAGACCAATATGAGCTCAGAAAGCTCTACCACAGGTCAGGCACAAATAGGCTATAAGCACATTGGGAATGGTGCATCAATGCAGGTATATGTCAAAGGATCTATAGTTCACGAACACTTCTCTCACTATCTCCAGTTCCCTTACCATGTTGGCTTAGCATCATCTCCCATCTCTGCCCATCTACCTACGGGAACAAGGCCTCATACATGTTCCTAACTCCTCTTGCTAGTACCCTGTACCATTTCTTCTCCCTCTCCTATCTAGCAGGCCATGGAAGAAGGACTGAGGGAGGGAAAGAGGTATGACTCCCCACTCAGGATAGACAGTGTGACCCACGGTTACTGGACATATTCTGAGCTATAAGGATGCTGCCCTTGTTTCTCACCTCCTGATGCTGTGCGTAAGTACACCCTGGGAATAGGGATCAGTTTCCAGATGATCCAAGGAGGCCACCTGAATGCTCCCTAGGGTCAGAGAGAGGAAGGGGAATGGAGAAACAGCTGGATTAAGAAACAAAAAAAAATGGCAGACCTGAAAATGACTTCACAGAATCCCATTACTGAGAGTTAGAAAGAACCTTGTGGACTCTGTCCTCCAAATCATATTTGAAAATGTATTTCCTCCATGACATACCATTAAATATGCCTACCCAGCCTCCAATGAGGGCAGGGGCCCAACTGCCTCTTCAGGAAGCCCAATTCTACATTCAGATAGGTCTTACTGGTAAGTTTTCTTAACTCAAACCTAAATTTGCCTCATTCCAATTTTTACCAATTATTGCTAATCCTACCTCCTGGAGCCAAAATAAAGAATTCAAATCCTTCTTGCCTGGGGTAACCCTTCAAACCAACCAAATGATAAAAACATTCATTAAGCACCAAGCTCCACAAAGGAGACAAAAATCAAACAGTCCTAATTTCTAGAAAGCTTACAAAGAAATGTGTTTGTATGCACACACCTTTTTACGTATATGTTGCTGCTGACCTGTCATTTCAGTTATGTCTCACTCTTTGTCAATAACTGCTAAAAATAAAAGTAAAAATTTTTAAAAAGTAAAAAGTAAAATTTTTAGTTAATAAAAACGTCTTCTATAATGAGGGTCTAGAGCATGTCTAGACCTCCTGATATGAATATATGTAGACCACCATTACGTAAGGGTCAGGTAGGTGGTATAATGGATAGAGTGCCAGGCATGGAGTCAGAAAGACTTATCTTTCTGAGTTCAAATGTGGCCTCAGACACTTAGTAGCTGTGTGATTCTGGCAAGTCACTTAACCCTGTTTGTTTCAATTTCCTCATCTGTAAAATCAGGGGAAATCAGGAGAAAGAAATGGCAAGCCATTCCAGTATCTTTGTCAAGAAAACCACAAATGCTATCACAAAGAATTCCAAATTCTCTCTCCCTCAGGCACTAAGACAAGCAACAGAATCATTTATGCACGTGAAAATAATGCAAGATATATTTCTTCATTAGCCATGTCATAAAAAAGCAAGAAAATTAAAAAGTAAAAAAAATATACTTCATTTACATTGTTTGTCAGTTCTCTCTCTGGAATGAGAGAGCATTTTTCATGAGTCCTCTGGAATTGTCTTAGATCATTTTCTTGATCAGAGCAGCTAAGTCATTCACAGCTGATCATGTAGTAATCATTAAAATATTGCTGTTACTATAAACAAGGAACTTCTGGTTCTGCTTACTGAACTCTGCATCTATTCATATAGGTCTTCCCAGGTTTTGCAAAAACCATCCCCCTTTTTTCACAGAGCACAATAATATTCCATCACTATTATATACAACTATTTCTTCAGCCATTCAGTAACTGATGGTCATTCCTTCAACTTCCAATTCTTTGTGACCACAAAAGACCCATTATACATATTTCTGTACATATCAGTCCAGTTCCTTTTCCTTTGATCTCATTGGGATATAGAGCTGGTAGTAGTATTGCTGTTTCAAAGGTATTATTGCGTATGCTTAGTTTTATAGCCCTTTGGGCATGGTTCCAAATTGTTCTCCAGAATAGTTGGACCAGTTCTGAATTGTGCATTACTGTCCTTATTTTTCCACATCCCCTCCAGAATGTCATTTTCCTTTTCGGTCACATTGCCCAATCTGAGGTAGTGTCACATGTTACTTCAAAGCTGTTTTCATTTGCATTTCTCTAATCACTAGTGATTCACAGCACTTTTTCACTATTATTAATTACTTTGATTTCTACATTGAAAACTGTTTATACTCCTTAACCATAATGGGAATCTTTTTTTTTCTTTTGGCTAGGAAATGGGGTTAAGTGATTTGCCCAGGGTCACACAGCTAGTAAGTGTTATGTGTTTGAGGCTGGATTGGAACTCAGGTCCTCCTGACTTCAGGGCCAGTACTCTATCCACTGCGCCACCTAGCTGCCCCATAACAGGAATCTTATTCATCTCCTCATGTGTTCACTAATTAGATAAGAAGGTATTTGGCTACCATAAAAAGGTCATAGTTAATCCTGCTGTTTACCTGCACCTCAATGAACTTCTTCCCTTTGGCATTCAGAGCACTGGCAGAAATCACATTGCATCAACATCTGCCACACACCCTTGGGATGCTTTGTTTTAATTAATGTGGTTTCAAATCTGTAAGGTCCACACTGGCTACTGAAATGAACAGGAACAGAAGCAGGACCAGCAACATCAGGAATACAGCTCAGGTTATGATATATTCCTCAAGCTCTGTCAACAATTATTCATCCACATTAGGCTCAGGCTCATGTCATGGCCAAGAGGTCATCCCCAAGCATCTTGCATCCCATATGTCCAGGGATCAAAGTTGAGGATCTCCCAATACTACTATCTACTTAGTAACCTCAGCTTCAGCCAGCATAACTTCTCCCTCACTGAAGGTCCATGGGAGAATAACACTAAATCTTTGCCCCTTCAGAGGTCTCTACTGAGGGGAATGATATCTTGTATCGTGGTGCCTAAATAAGGAATCTGAACTGCATCTCAGAACTCAGAATCACAGTCTAGTCAGCTGGGGGATCTTCCCACACTCCTCACAATCAGGAAGAATCACACTAGAACCAATTCTCTGATGGATACAAAGTAATACCCTTAGTCTAAAGGACTTCCAAAACTCAAAAGGTTTCTATCCAGATGTTGAGCAAGTTGTGTCTTCAGGCTGAAGTTCTTCCCACATTCACTGCATTCATAAGGTCTCTCTCCAGTATGAATGTGCTGATGTTGAGTAAAAGCTATATTCAAGTGGAAGGCCTTCTTTTGTACATTACATTCAGAAACTATGAATTATTTGAAATTGAGAAAGATCTGATTTGTGATGGAAGGCCTTCCCATACTACTCACATTCATAAAGAATTTCTCCAGTATGAATTCTCTGACACACAGTAAGATATGGGTTCTTCCTGAAGGCTCTCCCACATTCACTACATACATAAGGTTTTTCTCCAACATGAATTTTTGATGTCTAAAAACATCTGAATTGCAATAAAGGCCTTTCCACACTCCTAACATTCATGAGGAATCTTAACAGGATGAATTCTCTGATGGACATAAAGTAATGTCCTCAATCTAAAGGCCATCCTACATGCACTACACTCTTTCCTGAATGAATTCTTTGGTGTTAAGTTGTATTCTCACTCTGAAGGTCTTCTCACATTCATTACATTCATAAAGTTTCTCTTCAGTAAGAATTTTTTGATGTCCAATGAGATCTTAGTTGTAGGGGAAAGTCTTCCCACACTCCTTAAATTTATTAAGGATGTCTTCAGTATGAATTTTCTGATGATCAGTAAGATGTGACTTCCTCCTGAAGGCCTTTCCATATTCAGTACATTCATAGGGTTTCTCTTCAGTGTGAATTCTGTGATGCAATATAAGTTCTGTCTTATCACTGCAGGCCTTCCCACATTTACTACATTCATAAGGGTTCTCTCCAGTATGAATTCTCTGATGCTCTGTAAGTTGTGTCTTGTATCTGAAAGCCTTTCCACATTCACTACATTCATAAGGTTTCTCTCCAGTATGAATTTTTTGATGTGGAGTAAGATCTGAGTTGTAGAGGAAACCTTTTGTACAATCTTTATATTCATAACACATCTCTCCAGTATGAATCCTCTGATGAATTCTAAGATGTGACTTCCTCCGGAAGGTCTTTCCACATTCACTACATTCATAGGGTTTCTCTCCAGTATGAATTTTATGATGCACTGTAAGTTCTGCCTTTCTCCTGAAGGCCTTTCCACATTCACTACATTCATAAGGGTTCTCTCCAGTATGAATTCTCTGATGCACTGTAAGTTGTGTCTTATCCCTGCAGGCCTTCCCACATTCACTACATTCATAAGGGTTCTCTCCAGTATGAATTCTCTGATGCACTGTAAGTTGTGCCTTCCTTATGAAGGCCTTTCCACATTTGCTACATTGATAAGGTTTCTCTCCAGTATGAATTCTGTGATGCTCTGTAAGTTGTGTCTTATATCTGAAGGTCTTTCTACATTCACCACATTCATAAGGTTTCTCTCCAGTGTGAATTCTGTGATGCAATGTGAGTTGTGTTTTATCCCTGCAGGCCTTCCCACATTCACTACATTCATAAGGTTTCCCACCAGTATGAATTCTCTGATGTACTGTAAATTGTGTCTTATATCTGAAGGTCTTTCTACATTCACCACATTCATAAGGTTTCTCTACAGTATGAATTTTTTGATGTAGAATAAGACCTGAATTACAGAGGAAACCCTTCCTACACTCCTTACATTCATAACACATATCTCCAGTATAAATTTTCTGATGATCAGTAAGATGTGACTTCCTTCTGAAGGCCTTTCCACATTTACTACATTCAGAAGGTTTCTCTCCAGTACAAATTCTCTGATGCCCAGACAGATGCTCCTTGCTCCTGAAGGTCTTCCAACATTCATTATATACAAGGAGTTTATCTCGCGTAAACTCTCTGCTCTCTGAAAGGAAAAATAAAGAGTTCATTGACCCTGCCTTTTTTACCCTTTTCCAAGGTTGATAGTTGCTCAAAGGTTTTAGAACTATTTTCTTGCCTTCTCACTTGAGAAGGCTAGTCTCACTAGTCTTTCACTAAAAATCAATCTCTTGGGGCAGCTAGGTGGCACAGTGGATAGAGCTCCAGCCTTAAAGGCAGGAGGACCTGAGTTCAAATCTGTCCTCAGACACTTGACACTTACTGTGTGATTCTGGGCAAGTCACTTAACCCTGCCTGCCTCAGCAAAAAAAAAAAACAGGAATAAATTTCTCTATTTTAAAATATGATGACTCAAAGGTAACATATATAAACGATCTGTCTAAAGATGAAATTCCTGGAGGGATGAATGAACCCTTACTTTACTTTAATTGGCTGACAACTCAATAGAATAAGACTATTGAGGAAAAAAAAAGATGACTTTGAAAATAGGAAAAGACTGAACAGAATGTAAATGAAGAATTGAGTTTAGAGTGAGAAAGAAATATATACATGAAGTAAACAGAATACAGAAGAAACATGAGCGGTAAAACGTGACAATTGTGGCCAGAAATTTCCTCTAAAAATCCAACATATCTACTTTGTAAGGAATTGACTGACTGAAACTTGTAAGAGTGAGCCATACGGGTGTTTTTGACAAGAGAAATTATCACTAATTACCTGAAACATTACTGAAACTCTGGTAATCAACGAAGTAAAAATGAAAACAATTTGGAGGTAGTAATAAATAGCCATCAGATTAGCAAAGATACTTTAAAATGATAAATTTGGGCAATTACATTGAAATAGCTACATATTAAGCTGTTGTTGCTATCATTTTTCTGAATTTTTCAGCTAGGGCTACAAAACTGTACATATCCTTTGACTCAATGGTACCAGTACTGGTTTGCACCCTCAATATGCAATTGAATGCAAACAAAAATCTCTCAGTAAAATTTTCACAATAGCTTTTTGTGAAATAGCAAAATATTGAAAACCTAGAGGTCCAACAGTGGGGTTATGGCTACACAAGTACTGTCATATGAACATATTAATATGCCTTTATAAATATAATTGCAAAGCATAAAGAAAAACAGGATGACACACAACATGACAGACTGAAGAAAGGGGAATTAGGTTAGGATTAAATATTTTTAAAATTAACAGCAGAAAAGCAACACAATCATAAAAACAAGACAAAGGAAAATATCAGAAGAGAACTAAGAAGCAAAAAGTACACATTAGTTATCTTAAGTAATGTACTTATTTTAAAAGGGCGAATGAATTCCTGCAAGTGAGGCAGGAGAATGCCTGCTTAAGAGAAGATAACCTTCAATGAACAGAAGAGAAATAACTGCCTTGTACTAAGGCAACAACTTTCTTTTGAGAGTGGAGTATCTCTTCAGTAAAGAGATACATAAACAAATAACTTCTTGAGGTTAAAAAATGAAGTCTAAGTCTCAGCTCCTCTCCAGACACCTGAAAAACTTTGATAGGCCGCTTCATTCAACATTTTACAAGAGCTTTGACCTAAAATGACCAAGAGATCACTGGTTTGCAATGACCCATCTGCTTGGTTTTTGTGTAGTCACCTGGACAGCTGCTTCTTGGAATATCTGCCTCTGGCTTCCAAGATGCTTCTTTTCTTTCCAACTGGTAGATCACATCTGGTTTGCAAACTGCAAATCCTGTTATTGAAAACGAAAAATTCTAGGGAGTCATCTCAGAGTTCCATCATAGAAGAGATAGATGAAATACTCTTCCCAACTCTTAGTAGAAAGGTGGGGGAACAAGAGTGCTAAATGTATCTTATACCACTAAGGGCATTATGTTAGCTGATTTTGTCTGAGATTGTTGTTCTTCAAACATGTGGGGCTCAATGGGCCGGGCAGAGAGAGAAACTGAATTTTTTTTTTGTAGGTGTCAGGGGAAGGAGAAATTACATTTTTTTAAAAAGCTCCCATAAAACTTAATAAAAGAATTTAAAACTAGTTTAAGTTCTGTTTGCGCAAAAATTAGGTGTGCTATCTTCCACTATCTCAACAATAATACAAAGGACCACCAAAGGATATTCTTTTTATGGTAGAATGGATTACTGAGTAGGACTTAGGAAAAAATTGTTCATTTGACTCACTCCCTGCTAAGAGAGTAGAACATTTTGTGTGACAAAATATACCTTGGGATTAAAAAGAAATTCTCGGATTTGAAGCAACAGAGAGGGGAAGACACATTCTCAAGAATAACAACAATTCAAAACAGACAAACAAATAAATAAATAAAAAGAATAACAACAATTCCAGAAATCAATTTCTAGTACTATTATGCAAAGACCTTTTTTCCTGGAAACAGGTAGCACAAGTAATCTGTCTCTTGGCTACAAAAGGATTAGGAATATTTTCCTCTTGTATGCCAAAGAATAACTGTTAAAATCTTGAAAACTGTCATAGTATATATCAAGACTCCAAAGGGGTAGCTGTTCTTACCCAAAGACACCAAGTTCCTATAGTTCTCCAGCATCACATCCCTGTATAACTTTTTCTGAGACGGGTTCAATTGTACCCACTCCTCTGGGGTGAATTCTATGGCCACATCCTTGAATGTGACTGATTCCTGAAATAACAAAAACATTTATGCTTACCTAAGTACAGATCTAAATGATGTGAAGTTCAAATGTAAACTGCTTTCAGTAGGGTGAGGGAATTGAGGGTTTTAGGAGAGCAAGTGGTACAGTGAATTGAGGCATTTGAATCAACCACAACTCTATTTTGTGACTCAATTCTGGAGGTAGCTCAATTCTTTTTCTGTTCATATAATTGTAGGTTTAGTCCAACTTCTGTCTTGTGAGAAAATTTTATTCAACTGTGGGAATTGGGAGAAAACCTTATTGCATCATTGGAACTCAGCCCTGCAAGATTGGGAAATGAGACCACTTTTACCTGCTATTTAGAGACTCTTAACTAAGGACCTAGGTTATTCTGACCAGAAACCCAGTCAGATTTAAAAGACTGATGTAAGGAGTTCTCACAATTCTACATTTCAAGCACTTCATATGTCTTATCTGCAAACTGGCCCCACACCGAACAATTATTGTTCTCAGTTCCTTTGATTACATACAGACACATGGGAGGAGTGGGACACCTCTTTTTCTAAATTTAGGGAATTGAATCTGTTACCCCTCAACCTTTAACATGGAGGGTCCCTAATCCTCCTCCAATTTGAAATCAGATTAACTAATATTGTATTATTTGCTTTTAATTAATTGGTCTTGTTCTATTGTTTTTAATGTATAAAAGTTCATCTCTATATTATGGGTCCAGCCCTAAGCTGAAGAAGGGGCCTAGTCCCGGTTTGTTCTGCAATTGTCATGCCTTGTTTAATATAAAATCGATATGCCCAAAACTTTGAACATTTATTTCCCCAGTCACTTCATCTTTCACTTGCCACTAGGGATTGTTTCATTTATTTATTCGTATTCCAGCACAGTGTCTGGTATAAATCGGGCACTTAAGATTTCCTCAACTGGAAAGAACTGATAAACAGAAGTATGAATAGAATGATTTTACTTACACACACACACACACACACACACACACACACACGCGCGCACACACACACACTTCTAACAGTAGCCATCTCTAGGGTTGCGGGGGAGAGGAGAGAAAAAGGAAGAAAAATAATTTATATAACTATTACATGTTTAAAAGGAATAGCAACTTGTTCATAAGACTTGCAGTTTCACATGCAATCATCTCTTTTCCCCATCATACTACTATGTTTTGGAAATGCTTGTTTTATTTCATAAACTAAAAATTAAATGAATAAAAATTTTCAGAAAAGAATTCCTCTCTGATTAGTTTGTAAGCTCCTTGAGGCTGGAGCCATTAGGGGCCACACTGTGTATCTTGGCACAGTGTATGGCACTTTGTACGTGCTTAATAAATGCTTGCTGTTGTAAACTGTTCAAATGATATCAATTTTAAATGTGTGGGGGGGTTTTGGTGTTTTGTTGTTTTTTTTTTTCACATTGTGCACCCATAGCTCCCACTTCTACCCTCTGAGCTGAAGCAGTAATATGGCTAATTCCTTTTCTACTTGCTGAAATAAGCAAAGAAAATGAAATAGTTGAAGATAGCTAACCTGTGGTGCTAAGTCTTCTCTCCCAGTCTAAAGAAGCCCAGTTCCTTTGACCAATTGGCCTGATCACTTCACAACTAAGTTAGTTACCTTCCTCTTTTCATTCAATCGGCTGTGCTTCTTAAAATGTGGTGCTCTGAAACGAACACCATTGTGTTCAATGCTCCTTAGGACCATAAGAGTAAAAGCAAACACGTGGGACTACAATCTCCTGCCTGTAACAGCATGTGAACAATTTTTTACTATTGAAAAGGTTGTTAAAGTGAGGCCCAGAGAGAGAAAGTGACTTGCTGAAGGTCAAATGAGTAAATAGTAGATGTGCACTCTGAGAGCAGGTAATTCTGCCTTCAAATCCAGGGCTATCCTCACTGTACCATGTTGCCATTCCCTTTCTGTATAACCAGATCAAGGCCACAAATGAGTTTTTGCACAAAAACATTCACAAGAGCACTCTTTGGGGCATCAGAGAACTGGAAACAAACTGAATTCTCACCTGTAAAGAAAGGATAGCTAGAAAAAAACTGCATATGAATTTACTGTCATTTATATAACTTAAAAATGACAAATACAAGAAATTCTGAGAAGCACTGGAAGATATGTATTGACAGTGTAAAATAAGGAGACCCAACAGAACATAATACACAAAATTACAAAAATATAATTTTTAAATAAACAAAAAAAGGTACTGAACTACAAGTGACTGAAAAAGAAAAGTTAAACATATTACTTATCAGACTAATGAGTAGGTAAACAATTTATAAATAAGATAAACAGCAAAGTCAGGTATAAAATGGATAATTTCGATTACATTAAATTAAAAAGGTTTTGTATAAATAAAACAAACATGGCCAAGATTAAAAGGAAAGCAGAAAATTGGGGGAAAAAATTTATAGACAGTTTATTAGATAAAGGTCCCATATCTAAAATACATAAAAAGTTTTTCAAATCCATAAGAATATGAATCATTCCCCAATTGATAAATGTCAAAGGACATGAACAGGCAGTTTTCTAATGAAGAAATCAAAACAATTTATAATCATATAAAAAATGCTCTAAATCATTATTGATTAGACAAATGTCAATTGAAACAACGCTGAGATATCATTTTACACCTCCCAGATTGGCTGAAATGATAGAAGGGTAAAATGACAAATATTGGAGGGGATGTGGAAAAACTGGGATACTAATTCACTGTTGGTGCAATCATAAAATAATCCAACCATTTTGGAAAGCAATCTGGAATAATGCCCAAAGAGTTATTAAATCACCCATACTCTCTAACCCAGCAATACCACTACACGGCCTAACTCCAAAGGTGATTAGAGATAAAAGAAAAGAACTTAAAACGTTTATAGCAGCTTTCTCTCTGATGGGAAAGAACTGGAAATCGCATCAGCTGGGGAATGGCTGAAGAAGTTGTGGTATACGATTGTGATAATGAGCTATATGATTTTAGAAAAACATGGAAAGACTTGCATGAAATAAAGACCAAAAAATGAGCAGAACCAAGAGAACACTGTATACAGTAACAACAATATTGTCTTAAGAATGACTTTGAGTATGTTATTTTATCTATTACAGATACCCAAATTGACTATAAAGGACATGCAAAAAGGCACTATCTGCATCTAGAGAAAGAATTGACGAATGGAAGTATGCACAGAATGATTTTACATTTATACACATTATACAAACACACACACAAACACACCCCTATTTGTGTCTAATGGTAGCCATCTCTAAGGCAGGAAGGGGAACGGAAGAAAAAAAAAGAAATTTACATGATAATTTTATTGTACATTTGAAAAGAACAGCAAGTTGTACATAACAGATTTGCAGCTTTAAGTACAATAAATCTTTTTCACTATGCTGTGTGATGGAAATACTATTTAAGAACATCGCCACTTCTGAGAGCAGAAGAGATGGAGGCCACTACAGGAGAATGTCTTACGGACTCTCAGGCAAAGTCACCCTACTGGTATTTTTGTGCAACTACTTCTTTGGTGTGAAGGATTAAATCTGGAGGATGAAGGAAAGAAGCGTTTTTCCAAAAATGTCTGTGGTGAAATAGCAGAAAGCCTCATAGAAAAAATGAAAGAAATTTTATTGCTCTCTACCACTCATTCCTTACACCAATCACCCAGTCTCTGTTCCAATCCCCTATTGCCCTTTAAATGTTTTCAGGGAAGCCTGAAGAGGTCTTCCAACACAGCTGCCAGCATAACAGCAGGCTGACATCATGGCCCTTCTGGATTATCCACAAGCTAAAAGAGCCAGCCAACTCAGGGACTGTGGCCTCGATTGGAGAAAGAACCATAATTGCTTCAATTGCTGTGCACATTCAGTCTCCCTTCATAAGTTTTCTTACACAGATGGGCTTTTAAAAAAGGCCATTCTTTGGCTAGTGATCATTTTAGGCAACAAACATTTGGAAAATTCTTCACAAAGGTAAAGAAGAACACTGATTCTTCATACTCTAGGCTGGTGACTTTAGATCCTGGTGAGCCAGTGATTCAATCCCTTTCATCCAAGAACAAGTATCCAAAAAGTTAGAAGAATGGGCTGAATCTAATAAGATGGGACCTAGGAAGGATCAATGCAAGCTACATTTCTGGCCTAACTGAGGCATGAATGGAAGTCTAACTTCAGGACACTGGAGGACAAGTTTTTCTCCTCTTCATAAGTGGGCGGCATATTGCTACTAAAAGCAGCTGAATGATTCTGTTTAAGGATGCATTGTGCATGAAGCCATTGTGACAGTTTTGATTATGAGTCTGCATATGAAATCTCAAAATAATGTACCAAATGATAAGAAAATGACAAAAATATCTCATCATTTTAACTATACCAGTGGCCTGATTTACCAAACAAAATGTTCATTTAAAACAAGAGACCCAACTAATCAATACGGGAACGATTATTTGCATTAACAAAAGGATTCATCTATTAAATGAATGAATAAAAGGAAGCTTTCTTTATGAAAGGATATACTACAAGGGTCCTATAAACCTCTCTGATCTATTTGAAATATGATCAGATTAACACAACTTTTCAAGGACATGCCAATTCCAATAAATAAGGTAAAACAAAATAACTACTCTTTAGTTTTCTCCCCTTTAGGAAAGCTCCTACCAAGAGCGAGGGCCCTCAAGTAAGAAATTACCTTGTGATTTGAAGGAGCCAGAATTTTTTTTTATATTTAGCTTCAAAAGGTTAGGATAATTATTAATAATTAGAAATAAGCAGAAAACCTCCACCATGTCACTTATTCTATGTTATTTGGTTAATAATGTTTCTTTTTTAAAAAACAAGGCTATCTCATGGAAGTCAAGGGAGTCATAGAGTCTTTTTAATTTCTGCAGCTGGAAGAATCAGGTTTTTACACAAAATATATACAGAGGACTGTGAAATTTACCTTTATCAAAAGGGGTGGTGCTGGTGATGGCTGTGGAGATTGGGGGAAGGAAGCACATACATAGCAACCAAAAAGCATGGTATTTTGGGGTTAAAAAATTCATTCAGTGAAAGCTTAAACAGAATCTCTGTTTATAAAAGGTACCTCTGAGCAGACTAAGCTTTTTGCTTTGTATATGCTGGGGGTCAGGAGTACTCTGAATTATTTGAAACTATTCAAGGAACGGTATCTTGGCATTACAGCCCACGAGTGCGCCACTGCATGGGGCATTCCTGCTAGCAGCGGACAGCAGCAGCTATCTTAAAAGCCACGGTATTTAGGGGGACACAGAAGGAGACCACAGAATGATCCTCCCATAGAAAATCCTTCCTTGCTTGAGATTAGTCCCAAAAGGGCAGTAAAACAGCTGAGGAACTTGGTTAACTAATAGAATATCTGCTTCTTTATGATGCTTCAAAATACAGTAACCTTGGGAAAACTTTGTAGATGATTTGTGTAGCTTCTGTAGAATTGTCTTAACTATTCCTATCAAAAGAGGATTCTAAACCACTGGCATCTCTCATAATGAAACTAAACCCCACTGATTTATACTGTAAGATCACAGATTGAGAACTATCTGGAGTCTCCGAAGTCATCTATTACAATCTCTTTGTTTCGCAGATGAAGAACTGAGGTCAGAGAGAGTGAACCCTTCCCCCAATTTCACATAAGGAGTAAGTGTCAGAGCCAGGAATCAAACTTAGATCCTTTCAATACAAAATAGGCAGTTTCTGCCATTCCACACTGCTTCTTTTAAGAAGAGACGATTAGACTGAATAGGCTTTCCATTATGTAAATATGTGACTAACTGTATGTATGTACAGATATTCATATTTATGAGGGCAGCTGGATTGCTTGGTGCATACAGTGCTGCACCTGAAGTAGAGAAGACTTATCTTCGGGAGGCCAAATCTGGCCTGGACACTTATAAGCTGTTGACCCTGGGCAAGTCACTTCACCCTTTTGCCTCAGTTTCCTCATCTGTAAAATGAGCTGGAGAAGGAAAACAACTGAACAACGAACTTACGTGTACACATGTAGCTTTCTCCATATGTATATACATGCATTAAGTATGCCTAGGTTTATATATTTCGTATTTATTTCCAGGGCTTCATTTAGCAAGTGGAGGAAACTAACAATAGTTTAGAGTACAAGTTCTTTTTCAAAAACAAGGGAAGATTGTAACAAAATGACCCAAAAAAAATTATTGGGTTTGGGAGGTGGGAAAAAGAAGGTTAGAGAGCTTAGGATATGTTCTATGAACACAAATGGAGAGGCACAAAAACAAATGTGAAATGGATCAGATCTGATCCACGATGATGACAATTCATGATGATCCAGATGATGAAAACAGAATCTACAGCTGAACCGTACTACAATTATGTAAAGGAAAGGTGTGTTCAGGGAAGACTGGTACCTCTGGTGTGAGGGCTGATGAGCCCTTCTCAGGACTGCTTTCCACCTTGTCCGCCTAACTCTCACCTGTGGCTCCAAGAAACTCTAGCATGTGCAGTGGCCACGCCCAAGCAAACCATTTTTGAAGACGGGCTAAACCAGGTTGAATGGAACCAAGGGGTCTCAAACCCACTGGCAATTTAAGGGGGCATCTACCCTAAGCATGTCACAACTTCCCCTAGTGGAATGCACACATGAGAACAATTTCTTCTAACAGCCATGAAGGCAGCTGAAGCAGGCTCTGTGGAGGGCTTAGAGCCTGGTTAGACATAGCAGAAGCCAAAGTCGTCCACTGCATCTTGAGCCATCACCAGTCACCTTCCCTCTGCCACTGGAATGTGCTGACTCTGGAAGAGAGAGTGAGGCTGATGACTCCATGCAACTCAAGCTCACTTAGATCCAATTTACGCATAAAATCAAAAGACAGTGCCCACACCATCTTACCATTTGTACCTATCTCAAAGTCCTGTGGCTAAAGGCAAGTGATGAAGCAGCAGGTGGGGACACGCTGGGAGCTGTAGTCCCAACCCTACACAAGGGCAGCTCAGGCCAAAGAGTTGTCTTCTTACTGGAAGCAGCAGTGGGATTTGGCAGCCTCCTGGGTGTCTGAGCAGCCTTTTAAGGATCATGCTGCTCACCTCCTGGCAGATATGACCAAAGGCCACTGATGGTCTCTGTGGTGAGGGCTTATGGAAAATCATGTAAAAATGTTGTTGCCCAGAGAAGTGTTGTAAATCAATTTCACAATGGCACAACTGCCTAGGTTCCAGATAATCTCATGCTTTCCCAGTCATTAATGGAGTGAAACAAGGCTGTGTGCTGGCTCCCATGCTTTAGCATGATGTTTTCAGTCAAGCTGTCATATGCCTTCAATGAAGAAGAACACAGCACCAAATCAGCTATCCCACTGATGGTAAATTCTTCAACTGGAAAAGGCTACAAGCCAAGGCCAAAGTGGAGAGAGTGTTGGTGCATGACATTTTGTTTGTAGATGATTGTGCACTCAGTGCAGCCTCTGAAGCTGAGATATAATAAAGTACGGATCGATTCTCTGCTGCTTGTGTAAATTTTGGCCTAACAACTAACACCAAGAAAACACAGGCGCTCCATCAGCCAGACCCACACCATCTATACTTGGAACCATAAGTTAGAGCAAATGGAGACGTTCTGAATGCTGTGGATTAAGCTCACTTACCTTGGCAGTACACTTTCTAGGGACATACAAATCCATAATGAGGTTGCTGCAAGCATTGCCATAGCTAGTTCAGTGTTTCAGAGGCTCTGAAGGAAAATATGGGAGACAAGAGAAGATTGCCTATCAGTCTGAAGGTCTACAGAGTTGTTGTGCTGACCTCATTGTATGCCTGGGAAACCTGGACAGTATACGTACCCCATACTAGGAAACTGAATAGCTTTCATTGAATTGTCTTAGGAAGTTTCTGAAGATCACCTGGCAGGATAAGTTACCAGACACTGAGGTCCTTTCTTGAACTAAACTGCCAAGCATTCAAACTTTGCTACAGAGAGCATAACTATGATGGTCTGGCCACATTGTTCAAATGCCAAACTTACGCTTGTCAAAAAGACTATTTTATGGAAAACTACCACAGGCCAAGCGCTCATATGTTGGTCAAAAGAACCAATACAAGGACACTCTCAAGGTCTCTCTTAAGAACTGTGGAATTGATTATGTCACATGGGAGACACTGGCACAGGACCGCCCAACATGGCATGCCCACATCAAAGAAGGCGCTGTGCTCTATGAGTAAAACAGGATGGAAGCAGCTCAAAAGAAACTCGAGATGCACAAATTTAGAGAATCCATCCCAAATGTTCACATGGACTTTTTGTGCCCAACCTCTGCTACAGCATCTGAGTTCACACTGGTCTGATCAGCCACAGTCAGACACACTGCAACTTGACTCCAACACAGTAATACCACTCTGGTCCTCTTTAAGAAAGAGACAACAGCCAACTACTCACGTATCCTAGGAACGAGCCAGAATTCAAAGTCACTAGCCTAGGCTACGCAGAATCTACCCTCTCGTTTCAGAACCTTGGTAAATGTCCCCTTTTCCAATCCGGGGCAGCTTGCCCCATTCTCCAAGATCTTTCAGAGACACATGAAAGTGGCTAGGCAATGAAGCGCATTATACACTCCTATCAGAACAGCTGGATCCCATCTGTCTCCTTTTACTTCCAGTATCCACTTCCGGCTGACAATTTCTGGGCTCTCATTACTAGTTCCAAATTTATCGTTCTTCAATGAGAAAACAAAAGCCAAGGAAGATCTGAGTTGTTCAGCTTTCTCACAGGTGTCCCTTGTCGTCACCATCACCCCATCAACCCCAAAACATGGTCTTCACTATTCTCTGATCTTGCCTCCAAGCTAGGTTTTTTAAATCTTTTTCTAACTTTTATCACCAGAATACTTTCTTTCAGGCTTTGTTGTCTCTCCACTACTCTATTTTTATACTGCTCTGTTTCTTTTTTTATTCATCCTCAATTAATGGTAATTAAACACATTTTTATTCTCATGATTAGTTACGCTTCAAGTCAATTGGCTATTAAAAATCACATCTAAATCTCAAATGTAAGCCTTCTGACACACAACCTAGTCATTTCTTTGTCCTTTGCTGCCTCTTCACTCTCTAGTTTAATTCATTTGAACACAGCATTTACACAAAAAAGTGATATGAATCAAGAACTTGAATCTTACGCCATTTCTACTAATTAAACAAAAAAGTATGATGTTATCAGGGTACCAGGAGGGAGGAATACCATACTAAAAGGGATTCTTCTCATCCTTCCTCCTCTATTCTAAGGAAGGAGGGCCATCTTTAACAAAAATCTATTTTCTAGCACTCCCACTTCCCCCTCCATGCTGGAGGAAAAAAAAAGATAGGCAAAATCCTTGTAATAATAATTCAAAGGCAAGCAAAACAAATTCCTACATTGGCCAAGTCCAAAATAAGAGGAAAGCTGAGCGCCACAGAATGCATGCTTTTGAATTGTGGTGCTAGAGAAAACTTTTCGGAGTCCCTTGGAAAGCAAAGAGGTTGAATCTGTCAATACTTAAAGGAAGAAACTAATTCAGATTCTTCACTGGAACTTCAAGTATAAAACTCAATCACATAAATGTCAGAAGTTGGGCAGTATATTTCATCAGGAATCCTCTTAAAAAAATGACTGGTCACTGTGCTGATCAGTTTTTAAAACTTTCAAAGTTGTTTGTCCTTACAATATTGTCATTGGATAAATTTAAAAGTTCCTTGTGTGATTTCTGATATTACAATATTTTTGTATAATCTTTATATGCCATACATGTTCAGTCATTCCTCAAATGAAGGGAATCTCCTCAGTTTCCAATTCTTTGCCATCACATAAAAAACCTGCTACCAATGTTTTTGTACATATGGGTCATTTCCTTTCTTTGATTACTTTGGACCTAGTAGTAGCACTGCTGGGCCAAAGGGTCTGTGCACAGTTTAGTAATAGTCTCAGCATCATTTCAAAGTGCTTCCAAGACGTGCTGGTCCAAGTTGTAGCTCCATCAATAGCAGGGGCCAACTCCAGTCTTCCTGATCTTTGTCTTGTGACTGGACTGAAAGGGCTCCTGAAGAGAAAGTGAGGCTGGTTACATTGCACAGCCCACCCTCACTTCAATCCCATTCATTTGCAAGTCATGGCATCACCTTCCTGAGGTCATGCTTCTCCAAGAGGACCCACAACAACAACCAGCAACAGCATGTTAATGTACTTGTTTTTCTGCAGGCCATCTAGAATTTCTCATTTTACTTTTCTGTCAAATCTGCCAATCTGGTGAGTGTGAGGAAGAACCTCAGAGAACCTTAATTTTCCTTTATTTCTATGTTTTAAATTTTTAAGAGGTATAGGTGTATCTTGTCAAAAGCCTTGTCTGCATCTACTGATATAAACATATTCTTTTTCCTGTTTATATTATTAATATAGTCTCTTATGTCAATAGTTTTCTTAATTTTGAACCAAATATCAAGGCCAAATATAAGCCCAATCTCACAATGTACCGTGATGAAACGGTGCTGTCACCTTTCCCTGCTTTGGGTAACATCATCTTGGTTTGCAGAAGGAATTTGGGAGGAGCCTTTCTTTCTCTATATTTTTAAACAGCTCCATGAAAATTCCAAAGGACTGGCAGCTAGGTGGCACAGTGGATAGAGCAAGAAGGACCTGAGTTCAAATCTGACCTCAGACCAAACCCTTGACACTAGCTGTGTGACCCTGGGCAAGTCACTTAATCCCAATTGCCTAAAATAAAAAAAATAAAAAATAATTCCAAAGGACTAATTATAAAATATGACTACAACTGAAGAACTCTGAATGTAGACTGAAGCATATTCCTTTTCAATTTCATTTTTCTTGCACTTTTTTTTGGGACCACAGCCAATATGGAAATGTTTTGCATTACTTCATGTACAATATGGGCGTCCTATTGTTTGCCTTCTCAATGGGTAGGGGAAGGATAGAAGGGAGTGAAAGAATTTAGAACCCAAAATTTCTTAAAACAAAATAAATGTAAGGTCTTTTTTTATGTGTGGAGAGGATAAATTGGCATGTGTGGTTATATGATTCTCTGATGGCCACGATTTCTAGTGTTACAGCACAGGACAAAGTAACCTATCCTACGGTCTCTGGCCCGAGATGCTACTTGAGGAAAGCAGCAAGTGGCACTCACCTTCCCGGGCCTGGCTGTCAGGGCAGAAGCCATTCCCTCTTCCTCCCGGCTGTTCTCCTTGGGCAAGAGCAGAGGCCACAGAAGGCAGAGGGGGGAGGAGAGGAGAAGCAGGAGAGTGAGGGGTCACGCTGGGTGTCCGCCCTGCTCAGACCAGACGTTCCCACTTCTGTACTGCTGGGAGATCAGGGAGGGGGGCAGGGGCTGGGGGCGTGACTGCAGGAGGATTAGAACCCGCCCCTAGGCTCAGCCTCCGCCTGCTCGTCCTCCAACCCCCGCCCCCCCCCACGCCCGGGCCGCCCCCAGACCCCTTGGAGACCCTCGGGGGCTTCCTTCCTCCTCTGGCAGACGCTCCTCCCATTCTCCCTGTGCTTCCCAGCCAGGCCTCGGTGCTCCGACCCCGCCGCATCCCCGCACCGGCTCCGCCTGGGCCTGGCCCCGCTCACCCCGTCACACTTCAGCCCAGGGCAGAAAAGGGGAAGCGGGAAACAGCAAACGTGGAAGAGGGAGAGAGAAAAGGAAGTGTCGTAGTTAGACGGAACTCTAGTCCTCCCGCCCTTGAGGCTGGGAAAATGTCCCGGAGGCGAGCACGGCCGTCTGGGAATCGTAGTCTGGAGGGTGAGCGCCTTCTGCGCATGCCTGGAATGTGGTGCTGCCTTCCCCGCCCTTCCTTCCAGGAGCCCGGCCCCTCCGCTCCTCCCTTTACCTCGTGCGTGGTCTTCACAGCCCCAGAGCCCACGGAGAGTCACCAGGCGTGGGGTCTCAGACGTCGGGGGCCCTGGGGCTCCTCCGAGGCTAGTCCAGCCCCCAGTCTCTCCCACTCCGGCAACCAATCACAACAGGCCGCGGCTCTAATGAAATGCTTCCTGTGCGCCGGCATCTTCACGCACGAAGTGACGCAAACACGCAGGGAAGCCAAGGCTCAGAGTAGGGAAACCATGGGCAGGGGCTGGATGCCCAAAGCACTGGCTCAGACCCCTGGGGCTGCTTCCAGGAGGAGTAGGACAGGAGTGGGCCCAGGGCAGCAGGAGAGGTCAAGGGGACGCAGGCCAGGGGAAGGCTGTGTTTGCTTTGTTTCGTCTGCCAAAGAGACTGACCCGAGGGAAACCAGGAGACATGGAGAGCGTTTGGCTGGGCCTGGGGAATGCCGGTCGTCTGGTATATGGGCTCAATGAAACTCAGAGCTGACGTTTACGTGAAGCTCGATGTGTTCTAGGCAGGGCTAAGTACTTTGCAAGGATTTTACTCGTCTGGTCCTCACAACAGCCCTGGGAAGCAGGTGCTATTATCCAACCTCCTGGAGTCAAAATAAAGAATTCTAATCCATCTTGTATGGGGTAACCCTTCAAACCAACCAAATGATAAAAAACAGATATTAAGCACCTATGTGGCAGGTATTGAGCTTAACAAAGGTGACAAGGGCAAGGAATAAAATAATCCAATTTCCAAAGAGCTTACATACAAATGTGTTTGTATGCACATATATACATATCTGTTGCTGTTCAATCATTTCAGTTATGCCTAACTCTTTGTGACCCGATTTGTGGTTTTCTTCAGAAAGATACTGGACAGGTTTGCCATTTCTTTCTCCTGAATTCCCGATTTTACAGATGAGGAAATTGAAACAAACAGGGTTAAGTGACTTGCCAGAATCCCACAGCTACTGAGTGTCTGATGTCACATTTGAACTCTGAAAGATAAGTCTTCCTGACTCCATCCATGCCTGGCACTCTATTCACAATACCACTTAGCTGCTCCTTATGTAATGGTGGTTTACATATATTCATCTCAGGAGGCCTGGAGAAGTTCTAGACCCTCATTACAGAAGAGGTTGTTTTTTTTTTAAATTAAAACATTTACTTTTATTTTTAGCAATTTTTCCTTCTTCATCATGGAACAAAGCAGACAAGAGTATAACTTTCATAACACACACACACACACACACACATATATAGTCCAGCAAAATAAATTTCCACATTGGTCACACTCCAAAATCCATTAAATCCATCACCTCTCCAGAAAGAGGTGAGCAGCATGCTTATCTTCAGTTGAGTGTAGGTAAACTCCACACTGTGGAGTTTCCCCTTATATAAAGATGAATTTATAGGTCCAGAACAAAACAGACACATGGGCATTCTTTCTCATTTCAAACACATTCTCTATACAATTAGCAAATTGATATTCAAAAATCATGGGTCAAACCATACCATTCTGTTCTAGGGTATCAGTAGCTTTCTGATTGGGCAGTTAGATGGCTCAGTGGAAAGAGCGCTTGGCCTGGAGTCAGAAAAACCTTCCTGGGTGAAAAATCTGACTTCAGACACTTACTGTGTGACCCTGGGTAAGTCACTTAACCCTGTTTGCTTCAGCTTCCTCATCTGTACAATTAGAGAAAGAAACTGCAAACAACTCCAGTATCTTTCCCATAAAAACCCCAAATGGGGTCACAGTCAGACACAACTGAAAAATGACTGAAAACCAAAAAGCCTTCTGAGTGACTCTAGGACAAAACATATGCTTTAACATCTGTTAAAGCCCACCATAGTTTGATTTCAGCCTGTCTTTACAAGTTGATTACATTTTGCCTGCCCACCAGGAAGTGACAAGAGGCCTCAAGATCACTGAAGAGGAGCTGAAGTAGAGTAACAGCTCCAGATGCTAACCTTGAGAGGACATGTGTGGTTGAGTGGATGGGTGCACTGGGACAGTGGGTTTGTAAGTGATTATTTGTAGATCCTTCCCCAATTCTTTGAGGCAGAAAACAGCAGCTAACTATGCTCTAGGATTAGTTCAGTGGCTGCAGAGCCAACTTCTGGCTGCTGTGTACATGAGTCACTCACCCACCACGCTAGAGCCCAATCCAAACACTGACTCACGTTGGACCTTGTGCCCATCTGGTTGGAAATGGCAACATATTATTGGGGTTCAGGAGGCAGGCAGAAATCTTGGGCTTTTCCTCTCTGCTGCAGAAAGATCCAAGTCTCAAGAGTACAATAATAATAATCCATGTCATAGGTGATTTCAAATGCTTTCTCCCATCATTAAAAAAAATTTATTTTAAATTGAGTTCCAAAATCTCTCCCCCAGGCATTCAGAAGACAAGCAATGTATAATTTATACATGTGAAATCATGCAAAGAATATTTCTTTATTAGCCATGCCATAAAAAAGCAGGAAAATTAAAAGGTGAAAAAAATACTTCAGTTTATAATGTTCATCATTCTCTCTCTGGAGGTGCACAGAAGTTCTCATCATGAGCCCTCTGGAATTGTCTTAGATCATTTTCTTGATCAGAGTAACTAAGTCATTCATAGTTGATCAGGCAAGCATCACTAAAACATTGTTGTTACTGTATACAAGGACATTATGGTTCTGCTTAGTTAACTCTGCATCTATTCATATAGGTCTTCCTGGGTTTTGCCAAAACCATTGCCCTCATTTCATAGAGCACAAATAATATTCCATTACTATCATATACAAACACTTCTTCAATCACTCAGCAATTGAAGGTCATCCCCTCAATTTCCAATTCTTTGTCACCACAAAAAGACCCATTAGAAATATTTTTATACACAAAGATCCTTTCTCTTTTTCTTTGATGCCTTTGGGGTACAGACTTAGCAGTGGCATTGCTATGTCAAAGAGTATGCACAGTTTTATAGCCTTTTGGGCACAGTGCCAAATTGTTCTCCAGAATGGTCAGACAAGTTCAGAATTGTGCTTTAGTGTCCCTATTTTTCCACATGCCCTACATAATGTCATTTTTCTTTTCTATCACGTTGGCCAATCTGAGGTAGTGTGACATGTTATTTTAAAGTTGTTTTCATTTACATTTTTCTAATCAATAGTGCTTTAGAGCACTCTTTCATTATTATTGATCACTTTGATTTCTTCATTGAAAACTGTTTCTATTCCTTAACTATCATGGGAAACTTACTCATCTTTTCATGTGTATCACTAATTAGATGCCAAGGCATTTGGGTACCAAAAGGTCATACTTAATCCTGCTGTTTACCTGCACTTCAATGAACTTCTTCCCTTTGACATTCAGAGCACTGGGCAGAAATCTCATTCCATCAACATCTGCCACAGGCCCTTGGGATGTTTTCTTTTAATTAAGATGATTCCAAATCTCTATGGTCCACAATGGCTACCCGAATAAACAGGAGCAGAAGCAGCACTAGCAAATTCAGGAACACAGCTCAGATTATATTATTCCTCAGGCATAGACAACAAGTATTCATCACACATTAGGTTCAAGATCATCTCATGGTCAAGAGGTGTCTTGCATGCCATATGCCCAGGGATCAAAGTCAATACTAAGGATCTCCCAATACCACCATTCAATGTGCCTCAGCCAGCATAACCTCTCCCTCCCTGAAGGTCCATGGAAGGATAACACTAAATTTTTGGTTCTTTAGAGGCCTCTGCAGAGGGAAAAGATATCTTCTTCTCCCATGGTGCCTAAATAAGGAATCTCTGACCTGCATCTCAGGACTCAGAATCACAGTCTAGTCAGCTGGGGGATCTTTTCACACTCCTTACAATCATGAATAATCACTCTAGTATCAATTCTCTGATGGACAAAAACTAGTGTACTTAGTCTAAAGGCCACCCCAAACTCAAAAGATTTCTCTCCAGAATTAATTCTTTGATGTGGAGGAAGTTGTGTCTTCAGGCTGAAGGTCTTCCCATATTCATTGCATTCATAAGGTCTCTCTCCAGTATGAATGCGCTGATGTTGAATAAAATCTATATTCAGGTGGAAGGCCTTCCTTTGTACATTACACTCAGAAGCTATGAATTATTTGAAGGTGAAAAAGATCTGATTTGTGATGGAAGGCCTCCCCATACTACTCATATGCATAAACAATTTCTCCAGTATGAATTCTCTGATATACAGTAACATGTGGCTTCTCTCCGGAAGGCCTTCCAATATTCACTACATACATAAGGTTTTTCTCCCACCTGAATTTTTGATGTCTAATAAGATCCGTATTGCAACGGATGGCCTTCGCATGCTTAAGATTCACGAGGAATCACACCAGGATGAATCACTGGTGGACATAAAGTAGTATCCTCTATCTAAAGGCCATCTTCCATGCATTACTCTTAAGATTTCTTTCCTAAATGAATTGTTTGATGTTGAGTAAGTTGTATACTCACTTTGAAGGCCTTCTTACACTCATGACATTCATAAAGTTTCTCTTCAGTATGATTTTTTTGGATGTTCAATAAGATCTGAGTTGTAGGGAAAAGCTTTCCCACACTCCTTAAATTTATTAAGGATGTCTCCAGCATGAATTCTCTGATGTACAGTAAGATATCCCTTCCTCCTGAAGGCCTTTCCACATTCATGACATTCATATGGTTTCTCTCCAGTATGAATTCTATGATGCACTGTAAGTTCTGTCTTATATCTGAAGGCCTTTCCACATTCACTACATTCATAAGGTTTCTCTCCAGTATGAATTCTGTGATGTACTGTAAGTTGTGTCTTCCTCCTGAATGCCTTTCCACATTCATTACATTCATAAGGTTTCTCTCCAGTATGAATTCTGTGATGCACTGTAAGTTGTGTCTTATCTCTGCAAGCCTTTCCACATTCACTACATTCATAAGGTTTCTCTCCAGTATGAATTCTGTGATGCACTGTAAGTTGTGTTTTCCTTCTAAAGGCCTTTCCACATTCACTACATTCATAAGGTTTCTCTCCAGTATGAATTCTATGATGCATTGTAAGTTCTGTCTTGTCGCTGCAGGCCTTCCCACATATACTACATTCATAAGTTTTCTCTCCAGTATGAATTCTTTGATGGTTAGTAAGAAGGGACTTCTTCCTGAAGGCCTTTCCACATTCATTACATTCATAAGGTTTCTCTCCAGTATGAATTCTGTGATGCGCTGTAAGTTGTGTCTTGTATCTGAAGGTCTTTCTACATTCACTACATTCATAAGGTTTCTCTACAGTATGAATTTTTTGATGAAGAGGAAGATCTGAGTTGTAGAGGAAACCTTTCGCAGACTCATTATATTCAAAACACATATCTCCAGTATGAATTCTCTGATGATCAGTAAGATATGACTTCCTCCTGAAAGCCTTTCCACATTCACTACATTCATAAGGTTTCTCTCCAGTATGAATTCTCTGATGCGCTGTA